CTCCTCTCTGAAGTCCTCTCCTGCCCTCTTCCCCTTCATCACTAAGCTCCACCCACAGGGGCTCCTCACTCTTCCTCACTCACCAGCCCACCCCACCACAGGCCTTTGCACTTGCTCTTCCCTCTGCTCTTACCCTAGACTTCCACAGGGCTCTCCCCTCACCTGCTCCAGGTATTTGAGTCTCACCTTGTCAGTGGGATCTCTTCCTCCCAGTACTCCTAGCTCTCCTCCGTGTCCCCACAGCCCACCTCTTCTCCTGATGCTCACTGCCATTTATGTGTGGTGTTTACTGTGGATCCCTGTCCCCATCTAGGAGAGAGGACTTTCTGTGTCTCATTCACGCCTGTTCTGCCTGGGTCTAGGACAGCACTGGGCGTATAGCAAGTGGTCAGTAAATGTGCGGTGAAGGGAGGCATGCAGGAACTGTGATGGGGAGGGTGAGTGGGCCTGGATGATGCTGGGGGGCGGGGTAAGTGGAGGCAGTTACAGCTGGGAAGTAGTGGAGACAGATGTCTCCTGAGCTTGGGGTCCTCACCCCACATGGTACCGGAGCCCCTCCCTCAGTCCTGCTGGTGGATTTGTGGGGAGAAGGAAGGTTGACTCACCACACAGGTATCTTTGCCTCCTTCCAAATGCCCAGCACACAGCATAGACTCTGTTACTTTATGGATGTGGGCTTTGGCACACACGTCATTCGTAAAGATTTTCATGTCTATACACTGCAAATCATCTGGATATACATCTACAGGCCAGGGAGAAAAAAGACTGTGTCTGGACTCACCTTGTTCCTTAACTAGATATGCCCTCAGACCCAGATGTCTCAGCCCTCTCCTCTCTCAGACCTGGGGGTCTGCCCTTCACCCCACATGGTTGGTCCACACGTACCGCCATTTGGATCGAGGCTGCCCCAGCCTGCGGAAGTGCAGATACTGCCCACTTCAGGCTCCGTGGTGGGCAGGTCCAGAACCTTCACGGCATGGGTGATCTTCACGGGCTCCTTCAGGCGAACCAGCATGAGGTCATAGCTGAAGTCTGCCTTGTCTAGGAAGTTGGAAGGCTGGTTCTTGGAAGTTACGTTGTAGCTTGGGTGTGGAAAGCTGGTGCTAACTTCGGCAAACTGAGCTGGCTCTTCAAAATCATCCAGATTGTGGAGGCCCACCCAGACCTGGAGATTCCTGAGGAAGAAAGAGAGAGATGGAGTGAATGAGAAGAGGGAGAGGGGACACGGGAAGAGTAGCCTAGGGGAGGATTCCAAGAGGGAAAACCAGAGAGAGGGAAGGCAGGGTGGGAGGGTGGGAGGAAGACAGAGAGAGGGAGAAAAGGAGGTGCAACAGGAAAGATGCAGAGTCCTACAGAAATAGACTGGGGCAACCGAGACCTGTACAAACAGAAGGAAATGGAGTGGAAAACAGAGAGTGTTAAGTGTGAAAAAGGAACGAGATAGGCAGAGATGGAGAAGAGTGAGACATGGAGGAAAAGGACAGAAACATCGGAGACAGTGAGAAATGGGCACAGGGAAGAAGAGGGAGTGAGGAGAACAGAACAAGGGAGGGGAGTGAGACAGACATACTGAGAAAGGGGCAGACCTAAAGACAGACAGAAGGAGACAAAGAGGACCTGGGGGAGCTGAGAGAGGAGGGACGAAGGACAGGGAGGTGGGGTGGGTGCAGATGGGAGAGAAGGAGAAAGCCTGCAGCTGTCACAGTTGTATTGGTTCCCTAGCAGGCGGGGGCCTGGCCTACAGCCCAAGGTCAACTTGTCCCCTTCCCTCCCAGGACACACTCCTCTTTCCCTTCCTGCTCCCCTAGCCTCTCCCTCCCAGGCTCCTGCTCACTCCAGCCCTTCCTAGAGTTTCCCTAGAGTCTCCCTAGAGCCGACCAATTGTCCTGGAGGGCGGGACTTGGGGCAGAGAGGTCAGAGAGCACCCCACAGGTCCTGGGAGGCTCTGGGGTGGGTGCCCTTAGCCCATCCTGGGGTGTGGCTGTCCAGTGATCGGACAGGAAATTAAACAGAGACCCAGACAGAGAGTGGTCAAAACTACAGACAGAGATGATACAGAGACAGAGATGGCAGTAGAGAGACCATAGATAGACACAGACAGGGATGTGGGCTTTGGCACAGAGGCGGAGAAAAGACTGGGAGATAGAGACCAAAACATGGTCACAGGAGAGAGAGACAAACAGAGCCAGTTCTCTACAGAGAGAAACCCTGAGCCAGTGAGAAGGAGAGATACAGAGGAGAGACTCAACCAGGGAGAGGGATGTTGTGAGGTCATCCAACCCCAGCTTTGCATCTCCCTCTGACCTGGACCACCACCTTCTCTCTCCCTTTTGCCCCCAGTCTCTCATGATTGTCCCAGAGGGAAGGTGCCCTGCTCGTTTGGTGAAACACAGATGACCCCTCCCCAGACCCCCTGTCCCTACTCACTTGCTTCTGCAGTGGGCGGCCGTGAGCACCCACTTGGGGTTTATCAGGACACCTCCACACTCAGGCCTGTGGAAATTGTACACAACCACCTGCCATGGTTGTGAATACTCTTGGCACTCCCAGCCTCCAATGATCCGAGACTGGATAGGAGGCACAGCGCCTGTGGAGGGGTGTTGGGTCAAGCGGAGCAGGTGGGTTGATAAGAAGAGCAGGGGCTGGGAGGGGCACTGGGCACAAGGACCAGGAGATGGGCAAGACTCCTGAGAAGGACTCAGACTTCTGCAGCCACACCCGAGGTAGCATGTGGTCGCTGGTCACCTAGCTTGACTGGGAAGAAACAGAGGTGTCTGGTGGCATTTGAGAGTCATAAGATCAGGGAGTGGGGAACCTGGTTAAGAGCTGGCAGCAGGTTTGGGAGACTTTAGAGCAGACTTCGGGGGTCAGTATGGGTGGTGCCAAAAGATATGACTCAGGCAGCCATGTGTTGGGGGAGCAGTTGGTGATTCAGTCTTAGACTATGGGATAGAAAGCTGTGGTTCTGAAAGGAGATCCTCAAATCTAAAGATAAAAGCCCCAGTGGAGAAATTTGGGGCTGGGAGTAGGGACTGGCAGGTTTAAAGGGTCCTGGTGTCATGTGTAGAATAAGCATTGGACTGCAAGGTCAGTTTGAACCTCAAGGTCCACAGTTCAAACTCACCAACTGCTCCTCGGATACCTGATACAGGGTGGATATGAGTCAGAACCAACTTGACAGGACACTTAACAACAACAACAAACTGAGAAAAGGTCAAAGGTGGGTGGGATATTCCGGATCTGTTCAGGATGCAGATTTAAGAGTCAGGTCTGGGATGCCAAGAATGGACATCTGAGCTTTTTAGGGACAGGAAGGGGCTGGGAGAGTTAGGATACTTTAAGGTTCCAGGTCAAAAGAAAAAGTTAATGTTAAAAGCTCGGAGAGTCTGTGAGGCTGTGGGGTCCTGTGACTTGGTGTGGCATTCTAAGAAGGGGGGAGGAGTCTTAAAGAACAGGGCTGGGGTCTGGGATAAGACGGACTCTGGAGGAAGGGGGGTGAGAGATAGTCTTTTAGGAAGAGACTGAGTTTCTGAAGGGAAAGAGTGAAGGGCTGAGTGCACTGAAGAGATCTGAGTTCTCCTGGAGTGCTGTCTGGGCAGGAATGGAGCAGGGTGGGAAACAGTGTTCAATCAGCTGTGAGTGGAAGAGAAGACTTGCCATGTAAGGTTCCTAGAATTATGTATTGGAAGGAGAAAATATACTGGAATCTTGGGTCTGGAAAACAGAGTTGGAAAGTGAGTTTCTTGTAGAAAGGCAGGGGCTGGGAGCGGGCTCCAAGAGGTGGTTGTTGAGTGATTTGTGTGTTAGTTTCAAGGAACTGTTGGATGATGGTCTGAGACAAAGATCTGAGGTAGGAGAAGTTTGCAGAAACCCAACCCCATACCAGGACGGGGGCCTGTATAAGTAATGGTTCATATAATTTGCCTGGGAAGAACCAGCCATATCTGGTGTAATTTGGAGATCATAGGATCAGCATTGGAGCCCTGGTGTGGCGCTGTGGGCTAATGCGTCAGAATGCAAAGTTGTTTAAACTGCTGGGTCGGTGGTTCAAGATCATCAGCTGCTCCTTGGAAACCATATACAGGGTCTCTATGGGTCGGAACCGACTCAACAGCACTCCACAACAACAAGGATCAGCATTAGGAACAGGTAGAGACAGCTGAGAACTGACAGCTGCTTAGGAAAAGTTGGGGAGTTATGGTGGGATTTGCAGTAACAAGAGCCAGACCATTTGATGACCATTGAGATCTAGGGTGTAAGAGGGGATGATCGGGGACTGGTGGGATTGGGGGAGTTCCTTGGAAGAGTAGGAGCTCCCCAAGGAGGGAAAGAGACATACAGCCCTAGTCTCTGTTGCTGTGGTAAAGGGCCTGAAGTCCGGAAACCATCTAGGGAAGAAAGTTCTGGGGTCTCTAGGGAGGAAGCAGGGGCCTTGTGTGGGGATAAGGACTTCAGAGAGGACCAAGGGTCAAGTTCTGACATGGGTCTGGGAGGGATAAGAAAGCAACTGGTGTCTGAATCTGTGGGTTGGAGGGACAGGAGTGCTGGGTGGGAGGGAAGGAGTTAAGAGGGGGAAAAGGGGAGCCACATGAGTGTAGGACCCACTCACCCTCCTGCACCCTCCCCTCCATCTCACCTGTGCCCCCCAGGGGCAGGATTAGGCACAGAACCAGGAACCACATGATGACAGAGGTGTCTAGGGTCAGGCAGGCAGTGAGCTAGGAACAGAGGTGCCTCCCCAGGGAAACTTTAAAAACCCCTATTCCCCCCCTCCCCCCAGAGCCCCGCCCCTGACTTGCTGGCACCCAAATGCTGGTCAAGGTCCTGCCCAGGCTGCCGGGGGCTGGACAACTCCCTCCTACCCTCAAAGCCGTGGAAGGGGCGGGAGAAGCAGCACCTGTTGTTCTGAGAACCCTAGGTCACCCTGGATGCGTTCCCAGGGACTGAGGTCAGACTGGGCAGGACCTGTAGCTCACAGGACCTGGTCTTGAGGAGAGCACCAGTGAGGAGATGCTGATGGGGGCCCAGAAACAGAGGTGTGGGAATCACTGATCCCAGGTACAAAGTCTCATATGCCTAAGTCTCATGTCAGCCCTTCGCACCCCAAGTCCCGGTGTGCCCTCAGATACCATCAGTGGGATTCTGAGACCAGACGTCAGTCCCTCAGCTCCCAGCTCCCCCTGCTCGTGAGCCTTAGCTCACAACTCCCTGATTCCCATGCCTCCAGATCAGAGTCTGGTTCCCCAAGTGCTTTACTCCTCTTAAAATAAAATCTTGGAGTACAAATTACCCACAATCTTAGTCCCCCAGATTCATGAATATAAATAAAGTTCCATGGAACCTCCCAGATTAAGTTTCTTACCATTTCAAAATCCAGTATCAACCCTCAAAATATAATTGGGTCCCAGTGATTCCTCAGTTCTTATTCCCTAGATCTGCTCAAATTAACTTCCTTCAAAGCCCCCGGGACCCTGGATTCCCTGCCCTTCTAGGTTAAGACATTCCCAATGCAAAATCAAATGCTCCTCCTAGCCTCTAATAAAATATTTCTGTTTCAGAGTCAAGTTGAGGTACTCAACATTCAGTGACCTTGAAATCACATTTGGAGTCTCAGAAGAGAATTAGGAAGTAGGTCCTTGAAGTCTGAAAAGTAAATCTATAGGCTTCGGGTACATTACCTTAGTTGTTCAGTAAAATCAGAGCAGTTCACCTGAGCCCAGGTTTCGTAGTGAATGCTGGACTGGGTAAAAATTGTAAAATGATGCGCCCACTCTGGAAAATGGTACGGTGTGTTCTCAAAAAGTTGAAAATATAAATACCATATGAACCAGCAATCTTTTTACGTGGTAAATATCCTCACAAAGTAAGAGTCATGGCACAAATTGTTATATGCACACTCATGTTCACTGCAGCACTATTTACAACAGCAAAAAGATGAAGAAAACAGCCTAAATGCCCATCCACAGAAAAGTGGTTAAAAAAAACTTTGGAACAGACACACAATGGAATACTACACAACACTGAAGAATAACAATATGGAAAACACCTCGTAACATGGATGAACCTGGAGGACATTATGTTGAGTGAAATCAGTCAATCACAAAAGGACAAATATTATATGAGACCGCTATTGTAAAAGTTAAGAAAATGTTTTCTTGCTAAAAGAAACATTCTATGATGGTTACCAGGGGTTAGAGGGAAGGGAAAATTATTCACTGGATAGTAGGTAGACACTGGAGAGAGAGTTAACTCAGGTGACAGGAATGACAATATAGAAAGAGGAAGGTTGGCAGAAGACACAGGGAGGAATGGAAGAGTTACAGTGAATAGAGGTAAACGCGGTTAACTGATGGCACATGGAGGGAATTGCCTCACTGCAATGAAGCCAAGTTTATGATGTGCTGAATGAAAAACTGATGATCTGTTCTGTAAATCTCCACTCAACTCACAATAAAAGATTTTTTTAAAAAAAGCGAATCGAGGTAAATACTGCTGGTACACGGAGGGGATTGCAATCATTGTAATGAAACCAAGTGTATGTATGAGTTATTATATGCAGACTGATGGTTTGCTCTGTAAGCCTTCACTAAATTCACAATTAAAACTTTA